TCTTTCTGATTTCCAGTGTGTCTATCTGGTGAGACTCGGGTCGTTTTGTTTATCTCCTTATGCCTGTACATGCTGCCTCCAATCACCGAATCATAGAAGTTGCACAAGTCTGCAAACAGTCCTCTCTTCTCATCGATTTCATCCAGCACCTCTCGACTCATGTCGAGTTTTCTTCGCGTATTCTCTTCTCCCAGTCTGTCATCCATGTCATGCATTAGAATCTCGATGTCTGAGTCTGGGGTCTTCTGCACTATTGCTTGTAGAGTTGTCTTCAAATATCCTAATTCTTCTTTTGGTCTGCGTTGTTCCTATGTGCGTAGCATTGTGTAAGTGTAACTCTCCTTCCTATTCAGTTGGACGATGTTGTCATGATCCTGGAGGAGAATGTTTCGCACCGAACGACAGCCTTCGATGCTGTTGGTGACATTACGATAGCCACAATCTCAGTGTGCTCGTGGTTTTCGTCCGGGTGACTGGAGTAGATCACTGACTCTCCAGTTAACAATTTGGAGAGTCCACTCCGATTTCATCTTATCTCACGGATTCCCAGCATTTCTATACCATATCGCCTCACCTCTTCTACAATTTGAGCAGTTTCGCCATGCTGTGCACATTCCATGTCCCCATGCTTACTTTTGCTTTCATGGAGAGAAGATACACCGGCCGACTAGCTTCCCAAATGGCTTTCACCTGGCGGCGTCATCTGTCCCCGAATTGAACAGTCTTCCTGATTCCAGCGGAGAATCAGCTTATTTTTTACTCTGCCTTGAGGCTTCAGTTCCGATGGGGGTGGTTTTCACAGGGTGGTGAGGCCAGTCCTACACCCAACCTCGCCTCTTTTCCAGGCTTACCACCTGCTAGTGAACTAGGCGAGGTGAGTTCGTGCTTGTTGTAGTAAATCAGGAGTAGAATTCTAACACAATGCCTGGACAGTATTGCAGTTTATTCTTCAAAAAGACATATGCAGGCTATTTCGGAGATTCTAGAAACTGTTCGCTGACTTCCTGTGACAGAGTCGCCCCTGAAGTATACAAACTGTGCCTCACGACTTCTCTCAACAACCAGGTTAGGATTTCTCCAGTATGTAGAAATGAAAGCTGATTCGAGTGAACCAGAAGCGTGTCCTGTTCGTTGAGAGGAAGTAGCTGCGATTGCCAGGCTTGTCACTGATTGATATGGAAGTAGGTAGGCTTCAATGAAGGCTGTGTCAGCAGACATGTTTGTGGTCTTTTGGTGGTGATTCCAAAAGGCAACTATCCATTACATCGCGTGATGCATTTACGGGCCACAGTTACCTGGTGACTCTCAGAATGCGATGTTGGATCTTACCAACTCTTACTTATTCTGTCATCTTCTGGTCTGATCAGTTCTGACAGCGATAAAGCGAGCTGCACTCGTTCGTATACATGCCACATGCTAATGGTCATGACTGTTGACGACAAACCAGTCAGGAAGACTTTTGAGTTATAGCCATTCCTGAGGCTGATGAACAATTTATCAAAATATAATGATACAAAGAAATCGGAGAGAATTTAGTTGGTTGGTTGACAGAGTAGTCGTGATGTGGGTTAACATGAACTTGAGCTGTGGTCAAATTCCATCTTCTTCGAAGGCTTCCAACTTGATCTTGAAGGTTCCCACCACTAGATAGTGGTTCGAGCCTACATCTGCTTCTCTTCTCCATCTTGTGTAAACTAGACCGCGTCTCCACGCTCTTGGGTTTCAGATGAAGTCTTTCTGATTTCCAGTGTGTCTATCTGGTGAGACTCGGGTCGTTTTGTTTATCTCCTTATGCCTGTACATGCTGCCTCCAATCACCGAATCATAGAAGTTGCACAAGTCTGCAAACAGTCCTCTCTTCTCATCGATTTCATCCAGCACCTCTCGACTCATGTCGAGTTTTCTTCGCGTATTCTCTTCTCCCAGTCTGTCATCCATGTCATGCATTAGAATCTCGATGTCTGAGTCTGGGGTCTTCTGCACTATTGCTTGTAGAGTTGTCTTCAAATATCCTAATTCTTCTTTTGGTCTGCGTTGTTCCTATGTGCGTAGCATTGTGTAAGTGTAACTCTCCTTCCTATTCAGTTGGACGATGTTGTCATGATCCTGGAGGAGAATGTTTCGCACCGAACGACAGCCTTCGATGCTGTTGGTGACATTACGATAGCCACAATCTCAGTGTGCTCGTGGTTTTCGTCCGGGTGACTGGAGTAGATCACTGACTCTCCAGTTAACAATTTGGAGAGTCCACTCCGATTTCATCTTATCTCACGGATTCCCAGCATTTCTATACCATATCGCCTCACCTCTTCTACAATTTGAGCAGTTTCGCCATGCTGTGCACATTCCATGTCCCCATGCTTACTTTTGCTTTCATGGAGAGAAGATACACCGGCCGACTAGCTTCCCAAATGGCTTTCACCTGGCGGCGTCATCTGTCCCCGAATTGAACAGTCTTCCTGATTCCAGCGGAGAATCAGCTTATTTTTTACTCTGCCTTGAGGCTTCAGTTCCGATGGGGGTGGTTTTCACAGGGTGGTGAGGCCAGTCCTACACCCAACCTCGCCTCTTTTCCAGGCTTACCACCTGCTAGTGAACTAGGCGAGGCGAGTTCGTGCTTGTTGTAGTAAATCAGGAGTAGAATTCTAACACAATGCCTGGACAGTATTGCAGTTTATTCTTCAAAAAGACATATGCAGGCTATTTCGGAGATTCTAGAAACTGTTCGCTGACTTCCTGTGACAGAGTCGCCCCTGAAGTATACAAACTGTGCCTCACGACTTCTCTCAACAACCAGGTTAGGATTTCTCCAGTATGTAGAAGTGGTCCATCGTGATGACGTAACGCACCGCTATCTGTCGAAATCTCAGCAGTAAGTCTCTCTTGGTCTGTGTCAACTTACTTCAACGCTGGAGTAGACATGATATCCAGTTACCGACTAGGTGTCCTGTCTGTCTTAGTGGGTCTGAAACTGTTATGTACTCGTCGCTAAATTATTGTTATGGACTGGTCGAGAATTTAATAGTCCTGACGCAAGAAGGCGGAAATCAGAAGACCACTAGGTTTGCGATGATAGTTCTATTTTCCAAACACAAGGAGAATGCAAAAGTGGTATCACACCAAAAAGTGTAAGTGGTAAGTCACGCAAATTGTGAGAGCGAAATATATATGAAATGTTCCAGACAAAGTGTGTGAACAAATCATTAGACAGTCTTAACATGAATGGCTAATTATAATGAAGTATCGATCCATATATACATAGCGAAATATAGCAGACATGTCAACAACCACCATATATGGATATATATCACCAAGCAACGGACTGTCAACAAACACTCATATTATATATAATATAAGGGGAATATACATTGTTAAAGGAGACAAGTTCATACAAGTGAAATGGTCACAGACTAAGAGAGCAAACAGAAAGAGAGACCAACATACACACACACATAAATATATATATATATGTGGATACATATCAGAAACATAAATGTTGAAAGTGGGAGACATGAAGCCGCAAGTGTATTTTGACCATAGGCGTTCGCGCTCTATCAGAGGTGTTAGGTAGTATAGTGTGACCAGGTATTTTGAGGTTACGCGTAGAACTTTACGTAAAAAGACAGAATGGTTAGATATGATTGCGAAGCTGCATCTGTTGATGTAGCGGGAAGACGTCTTCCACATACCAAGACAACAGCATCATCCTCGGGTAATGTTAGAAGATATAGGAGTGGGGTGGAAACTAACACATGAAGTCAATCTAGAAAGTCTTTCGCTGACGACTTACGCCACGTAGGAATATGCATTCTGTTGGGCTTCGGTCCTCCATAGCCCAATAACTAGCGCTTGGAGACCGTCAGTGACAGTTCAAGTCATTATTGGCATGGACTCGCTCACTTTTCGTGATCTCTGGTACCCACTGAATTGAGTTCACATAGTTCTCTATGTATTTACGTTTCCATTTCCCTCTTTCCTCGAATTCTGTGTTTTCCATGAAATATGAAAACTTGAACCCCTGTACTTCAGTGCAAAGTTCAACATTGAAATTCAGTCAGATTTATCACTTTAAAGGAAGAAACTGTATTCAATACCTTTCAAAAATGCTCGCTGAAAACATTTAAAACGTATTCCTAGTGGTAAAAAGAGAATACACTTATCTAATTACTAACTCAAGACAATGAATGATCTCGTTGATGATACATGTTAGACGATAAGAACTCAATATTTTAGCGAAAAGACCTATTCGTATAACCACAAAAAAACGGTACGGTTGCAATGTTTATAACGAATTGAAGCAACAATGCATTTTTCACCACATCGGTAGATATTTAGGATGCAAATATTTTTTTGATTTTAGATGCAAAGCTTGCTAACACTTACATTTCACAGTTAGTTAGTTAGTTAGCCTGAATTATACTACCACTAATCCAAATTTATATTTATCTTATCCTGGATTTTTTTTCTACTGCATAAATGTAAACAAAACACGTAGATCAGCGAAGAGTCTTTTTTCGCTGATCTACGTGTTTTGTTTTGATTAATGCCTGGATGGGGATTATCCATGAACTGTATAAATGTTACAAAATCCCGTAGGGATATTACAGTAAATATGGAGTTATCACAAAATTAGCTACATATACTCCAAGTCATTTGTACAAATAAAAGACCACTCAAAAGATGCATGATATAATTAGTATTAAATTCGTTATGTACACCTCATAGACGATTCGAATTAACTGAACAGAGGAGTCAAATAAAAGAAAAAAACAAAGGTAAATGTATAGGGATGTAGTATGAATTAAAGTAACTCTGAGAAAAATGAACACCATATTATGAATACAATTAAGAGTACGAAGCAAAAAATAATGCATAAATGAAATGCAAATATTATTATATACAACTTGTTACTTAGCGTATAAATAAATATTTTTATGAGAAAGAGAAATTTGGTACATTCGTTTTTATTTTTTATTTTTTTTAACAGGGATGCAAGTATTTTAGGTATTAAAAAATTTGTACATTCTATCAATCCAAATATCATAAGATTTTTGATCTCCAGCACCCAATAATCCAATCTTATCTGGAATGACAGGCTCGGCTTTAGAAGCATACTCGAGAAGAGAACCATCGAGTCCAGTTAAACGACCACCGGCAGACTCTAAAATTGCTTGTGCAGCACAAACATCCCAACGACGGGTAGATGATGGGTGGACATACAAATCTGCATCACCTTTAATCACACTGATCACCTTATAACCTAGTTGGGAAACACAACAAAGTGAAAGATAATTAGTACTGTGTAAATCTATGGTCTTATGTGAATGACTGCTTGCGACAACTCCAATGATGATCGTGATGAAGATAGTTGTACTAATAAATGGAAGCAGCTGGTGTGTTAGAGGACGTTTCTGCTGATAAATACCAAATGTTTTCTCATTGAAGACTACTTAATTAGAAAATATGTGAAATTTCCAGTCATTCACGATTAGGTTCTGAGACTAAATTTCAAAATTCATGAACGAGTGAAGTAGTCTTCCGTAGCGGTTTTTCGTTACATGCTCAAAATGAGTTCTTTCTGAGGATGTTTCAACAGCATTATATGGATTATGAAATGGAGAGGTTAATAAACTAAAACAACAATTAGCTTGTTTAGAGTTCGCACGATAGCATTATCTATGCTACAAGAGTGTATTGTAACTGACTCCATTTCACTATACGGTAATTCAACAAGGCTGTTGGAATTCTAAGATGTTAAAACACAAGTCTTTTTCACTCATCGAGATTTCCATTTAGTTGGGTCGTGCAGTATGATCAGTAAGAATGATGCAACGCGTACAGAATTCGACAAGAAGGCGCATTCAAAAGATTAGATGGTCAAGTTCATCGTTTGATATAGCTAAAACACGTGTTACGCACGCGAAGCAAAGATCTTTTTCAACTAGTAATATTAGCTGATGTAGGACTAGGTTACAAAAGAAATAGTAGTCAGATGAAAACATGAAATGAATCAATCACATTATCGCTTGACTGCTGATCTGAGCCACACAATGTCGTGTCTAGCTGATGTCCTCAGGATGTGAGAATTCAGTGGTTGCAGACTGCTCGTAACATGACTCAAAATCGTTTTCACAGACGCAGATGAATTCACTCCTCCTCATCTTCCAGATTCCGGCAGCTATCGATAATCTTAATCTAATTTTTATATTTTCTGTCCATTGTAATTTTGTAACACTTCTTTTCCTACATTTATTTGTGCTTTTTTGAAGTGTCAACTTTATCCATTGAACTTTTTATAAAGTTTTACGTAGATGCTTTAGTCATCAAATGAGCAGTGATTTGATGAAGTACATTATCAAACGTTACCAAAAAGTTTGAAAGTCAAAATTTTATAATGTACCTCAGAAGTAAGGTATTAACTCATTTCAATGGACAGTGAAATCGAAAGGAATAGAAAGAAACATAAACATTCGGATGTGCAGAATTTCTGGTTTCAAACAATTTATTAATACAATACGTAATATGACACTTCATCGCTGTATTTTCCGTAGAGTATGAGCGCTTTACGCATTTCCGTTATTAGCAGGCAATAAAGGTTAATCAGGAAGTCGATTTACTACTGCCGCCTTAAAAAGGCAGGAAAGCCTTTAAATGAAAGTTTTTTTAGATATTAAAATCAGTAGAAAATTAATTTTTAGGAGTCAGCATTACCGATATACATGAAATAATGATCTAAACAATCTAAAAAGATTACTTTTCCCTTAGATACGGAGATATTTAAAAAAAAGAATTTACGACTATAATATGATTTATGTCTGTCTGTCTGTCTGTTTTCGACATAGAACTTTGCACATATGTGCGGCAGTTCAAGTTGCAACACTCCCTCCTCGTAGCACACAAAGAAAGATAAGAAAGTAGAAGAAATGCACGATAGAGACAGTAAACAGAAGTGTGAAACAAAGGAATAGTAATAACGAATAACAATATGGTTTCATTGGAAATCATAAGTCACAGGGAGTGGATGCATCTGAGCCATCATCAAGAACGATTTTGAGCCGGCCATATCACCAATTGTTTCCAGCCATTGGTTTTTACTGTCCCGAACACCCCACCAGGAAGTCTACACCTTTCTACGTGGCTTAGACTAGCTGTTGTGGATTTGACTGACTGGTGCCATGTTTTGGTTTGACCGCAACTAGCTCTTTTCTAGCCTGACCCTAAGTCAGATAACATTCCCCGTTGAGGAAGGCGATGACTAGGCGTGCATGCGTAACACATGTCCTAACCATCTCAGTCGATGCAGCTTCACAGCCTCGTCGATTGATTTCCCTTCTTACCTAGCACTCGACGAAGCATAACCTCAATATTGCTCGCCTTATTATACTACTTCACACGAGAAATACAACGCAGGCACCTTTGATCAAAGACAACTAATCTTTTCATGTTCTCCACTCTCAATGGTCAGGTCTCACAGCCATAAAGGAGAACGGAGCGGACTGATTGAGCAGTACACCCGCCCTTTGGTCGATAGTCGGATATCACGTCTACTAGGCCAGAGACGGCGTAAACTGGCATATGCGAAACCAGCCTCCGTATCCGTGCTGAGATTTCGTCAAAGACCAACCTGTTGGCACTGGCTGATGGTACTTACTAAATAAGTGAAGCGGTCAACGTGCTCTACTACTTCACTTCCCATTTCTAATCTAGGAGTCGGTGTAGTCCAGTCCTGTAACATCATCTTGCATTTGGTGGGAGCGAATCGCATGCCAAACCTTCGTAGATTGCAGCTCAAGGTGTTCAGAAGACTGTGCAGTTTGTAAAAAGCAATATATACTGATATATAGTGAACAAGTCATATGCTACTATGGTAAATATTTTCCACATACTACATTGCGTGTTTATAAACAGACAATGCAGAGATGCATGCTGTAACAATAATTAAAACACTAAACTCCTGGTATCTTATGTTGTAAGGTGACAGGCACACCTTTATGAGCATGATTATGATGCCTTATTATGAACAATGTTTAATTTAAACAGAATATGTTGACAGATGGAAAAACTTAATATGCAACTTAAGAAAGAAAAATAATTTAAAAACTGTGCTCACCTGAACCACCAGCTGGTATAAAATGAACTTGATTTGGAGCCACTAGTTTTATTAAACCTTTCATTCGTGATTCATTTAGGTGTGAACGTGAATAAGTTACGGATAAGGTACCTTTAGTAGGAAGTGCTTTACGGGTTTCTATAGCCGATTGCAAGTCCGATGAACGTGCATACGAACCCCAACCCCAATCTACACCATAAAAGTAATAATAAGGATATATAAACTAAGTGAGAAACACATCCACTAAATTGACTGCGTTTACAATCAAATATGCAATAGACATTAATTTCCACATTTTAACCACAAACATCTTCAGATCATATCACAAAGTGTACCAGAGTTTTACCACTAAGACGCATACTTTATTAGCCTAATAAGTTCTTTGCACCGTGTTCAGTGCCAGAATACTGATCATTCTTGTAACTTCAAGAGGTCTAAAAATGGAAAATATCAGCACCTAAGGGAAAATAAATCTGTATAAAAAATTGAACTAAAAATGGAAAGAAACTTGGATTACTAATTATGTCAACCCACTATTACTTAGTAATGGACTACTATATGTTTTTGGTAAATACAAATGTTACTGTTTAATGTGTGAAGATGACCTCGTCAATAAAAAAATATTATTCAATGAATTATCTTTCATTTTCATGACTCAATGAGTATATTCTAAAAGTTTCTTTTCACCTTTAGTTCGATTTTTATTTTATGTAAAACTAGGACTTCGTACATTGTCGCCACCAAGAAATATGCCAGTATCTTATATGGCTTTATTTTCCCTTAGGTGCTGATATTTTCCATTTTTAGATCTCTTGAAGTTACAAGAATGATCAGTATTCTGGCACTGAACACGGTGCAAAGAACTTATTAGGCTAATAAAGTATGCGTCTTAGTGGTAAAACTCTGGTACACTTTGTGATATGACCTGAAGATGTTCGTGGTTAAAATGTGGAAATAATGTCTACTGCCTATTTAATTGTAAAAATATATACTTACAATGATTTAATAGTAATCTAATGTTCCATCTTTTATAACTCTCAGGTTCCAGATTATTATTAGTAGTAACCAATATGTTTAGTCAGATTTAAACGCCACGGTCTAACCTCATCATATCACTGCTACTTTACAATCCACCAAACAAAAAATCACGGTGCTTCCCCACATCAATTTCATGCTGTACTGGGTGAAGTAAACTACTTCCTACGTCAATGTGCAGTTAATTCAAGAGGACTGAATACTATTACTAGTTGCATTTAAACATTTCGTCTTGCAACTTATGTTAAAAAGGCACTTCATTAAAAAAAATGATAATTACAACAGCAAAAAACAATTCGTTTTATCAAAAACATGAAAAAGAATTTCAGTGTTGACTAATAGATTACTCGTTTAGTAAAAGGCTCGTTCTAGTGAAGTAGCAATTCACTTACTTGAGTGATTATCCTTGAAATATTATAATTTCAGCTTACTGCCATAACAATAAGCTACAGCTAATTAAAAATGTTCAAGCAAAAAGGTTAAGGCGTTCGAAAATGATCCTTGAATACATGACAGATAAATATGGTATATGTTGGTTAGCAAAGTAATGAAATCCAGATGTTGGCAAACCAATCAACGAGAGTTGAAGACAAATAGTTACTAATCTAAGTACAAGTTGGTTCAACTTCTTCTGTCCTCATGTATTTTGCAGCAGTTTTCTTCTACGTCTCCCTTTACTGTGACTTTCTTGCTGATTGCTTGAAATATTATAAATGTTTATGGCCACCAGTAACTATAAGCATATAATGTGCAAAACATATATGATTTCTCTATAAGCCTTGCTTACTCATCTACAAAACAAGGTAATGAAAAGTGACTGGTAACAAGAAATCAGCGATTTTTGGTGCTGACTGCTTTATTTGGATTTGCCAAGAAGTAGTAGTTAAATTTTAAAAAAAATTAAACGAGTCTTTCCATGGTAATGTGACTTGCATAACATACTTTGTTCTAGTTTATGTGTGGTATAATATGATGAAAGATATTCCTTGATGCGCTTTTCAATTACTACGTTACATTAACGTAGTCATATAAAACTCTTATTTCTGTGGAGTTTCTTGCCAAAAAGTTGTGGAACTTATTGTAATTATTTGCCTTTCGAACACTGAATCTGTGGATATAATCTTGCAGACAGATAATATCTATAATTATATGTTTGCCACTTTGTGCTTGTCTAATATTATATATATATATATATATATATATATATATATATATATATATATATATATATATATATATATATATTGATGGATTTACATGTTCAAGTTGGCTCAAGTCAGTGAGTCTATGATTTTGGTATCATTTTGGTTAACTGTACCTGTGATATTATTATTGTTGCTGTCGCATGTAGCCCTTCTTGCTGTGAATTACTTTCCTTTTGCTGGTGTTGTTCTGATTGTTTTATTCCTTGTTTTCCTGTGTTTTCATTTGTATTTAGTTTCCCTTGGCAATCTTTCAGTGGTCTAACATGTACTGATTTCTTCCCGGATAGCAGCCTGATTATCTGATATAATGATGTGTGATCCCTCTTATCTATAACCTATTGTGCTTCAGTTGCTAGTGATCTCTACACTATATTTTAATGTAACAATCCCCTTCTCAGGCTGGAGGCTAACAAACCCACCCTGTAAACAAAATTGCTACAGAAACTTCAGTACGATGAATCGCCTTGCGCCAAAATAAAAATCTATGTGCGGACATGGAACGTCCGCACCATGTACGAGATTGGCAAAGCTGCCCAGATTGCAAACGAAATGAAAAGATACGGAATTCAAGTACTGGGGATATGTGAAAGCAGACGGAACGCGAATGGACTCACCAAATTGTCAACGGGTGAGTCAGTGATCGACTCCGGTCACCCAGAAAATAACCGCACGCACACCGAGGGTGTGGCTATCATGATGTGACCAACGGCAACGAAGGCCTTGATGCAATGGGAGGCGATCTCGTCTAGGATAATGACCACCAGATTCGACTCCAAAGGAAGGAAAGTGTCAATTATACAATGTTACGCACCCACAAACAACGCAGACCTCGAAAAGAAAGAAGAATTCTACAGACAACTACAGGCAACAATGGACAATACTCCAGCTGACGAAATTAAAATACTAATAGGAGACATGAACGCCAAACTGGGACCAGACAACTCAGGAAGGGAACTCATCATGGGTAGAGAAGCTCTCGGAGAAATGAATGAAAATGGAGAACTCTTCGTCAACTTCTGCGCCTTCAATGAACTAGTGATTGGTGGCAGCGTATACAAACACAAAGATATCCACAAGGCTACATGGGTGTCACCAGATGGGCGGACCAAAAACCAAATTGACTTCATCTCAATCTCAAGGAAGTGGAGGCGCAGCCTACTGGACACAAAAGTAAGAAGAGGAGCAGACGTTGGCTCAGACCACTATCTCGTACAAGGGACAACCCAAATCAAATTAAAAGCTTTCAGGGAATCAGGAGCTGCAGATAGACCACAAGCCAAGTTCAACACTCAAAAACTGAAGGACCAGGATACAAAGGACATCTTCATTGCAAGCATAAGGGACAAAGCCGAGACACAAATCAACACCAGCGAAAAGGTCAGCGTCGAAAAGCACTGGAACAACTTGAAAACGGTGTGGAGTCAAACCTGCATGGAAGTTCTAGGCAGAAAGAAGAGACAGGACAAACAGTGGCTCACTACGGACACTTGGAGACTAATAGAAGAGAGAGAGATGGTGAAACAAAAGATTATCCAGTGCACCGATGAGCAACAAAAACAGGAGTTGAATGCAAGCTACAATACACTGAACAAAAGAGTAAAGAAGAGTGCCAGGGAAGACAAAAGAAAATATTATGAAGCCATGGCAAGTGAAGCAGAACAAGCTGCGGGCAAAGGAGACCTCGCCACACTCTACCAAACAACTAGGTACCTATTGGGTAAACGTTCGACACAAATTAAGCCAGTGAAGGATGACAATGGAAAGTCAATCACCAAAGAGGTGGAGCAAAGAAAACACTGGGCTGAACACTTCAAAAGACTTCTAAATCGTCCGCCACCTACAACGCGCCCAACAATACCAACAACGGAAGCAGAACATGGACTCCCGACGAAATCAGAAGTCTTGAATGCAATCAAGATGCTAAAAGCTGGAAAAGCAGCAGGACCAGATGGAATCCCAGCAAAAGATTTGAAAATAGACCCAGAGACAACAGCGGACTTGATGACGCCACTGCTGGAGAAGGTGTGGAAGGAGGGCAAAGTACCCGAGGATTGGAAGAAAGGATACTTATTCAAACTACCAAAGAAAGGAGACTTAAGTCAATGCAAAAACTGGTGCGGAATTAGGCTACTGTCCATCCCAAGCAAAATACTAAGCCGGATTATCCTGGAGAGAATCAAACACGCCACCTGGATGAAAAACTTCGACCGGAACAGGCTGAATTCAGGAGAAACAAGTCATGTATTGATCAAATCTCCACTCTACGGGTCATCATTGAACAAAGCTTGGAATGGCAGTCACCTCTCTATCTCAACTTCATCGAATTCGAAAAGGCCTTCACAGGCAATGTCGACCGAGAGGAGATTTAGCAACTACTTCGCTACTACGGGGTGCCACCGACAATTATACATCTCATCCAACAGTTGTACGACAATGCTGCATGCCAAGTACTCCACAACGGTAAGCTTACGGAATCCTTCAAAGTAAGGACGGGAGTGAGGCAAGGCTGTCTACTAACACCCATGATTTTCCTGATTGCAGTAGATTGGATAATGAGAACAACAGCTGGAAATGAGAGAACAGGCATAAGATGGACTCACACAAAAAACGTGGAGGATCTGGACTTCGCCGATGATATATGTCTGATTTCCCACAAACTGGAAGATATGCGAGTGAAAAGCTACAAGTTGTCAGAAGAAGCATCCAGAGGAGAGTAGGACTTCAGGTGAACATAGAGAAAACAGAGGTGATGAAGATTCCTGGCCAACACCAACAGCCACAACAACAGCAACAGACAACAATCAGCCAGCATAAATAGGAGGAACAACCTCCTTTACCTACTTACCTACCTACCTACCTACCTAGGAAGCATCGTTTCAACTACTGGCCGACAGAAGTGACGAGGATATCAAAGCCAGAATCGGAAAAGCAAGACAAGCTTTCATTACTCTCAAGTCTGTGTCGAGGTCAACACCACTCACCATCAAAAATAAGATCTGGATTTTCAACTCCAATGTGAAGTCAGTACTACTTACCATACGGATCAGATAATGGCCAGTGCGTCATAAAGAGCATCTCAAACAAACTACAGACCTTCATTAACAGTTGTCTTCGCTCAATACCACTCAAGATCTGATGGCTGGCCAGAAAAGATCAGCAACAGGGAGGGATCTCTGGGAATGAGCGAACCAACACAGCAGGAACCGATTGTGAAACAAATAGGCAGCAAGAAATGGAGGTGGATTGGATTGTGGTCATACTCTGAGGAAACCATCAAGTGAGTGACATTACTAGACAAGCCATTGCTCGAATGGAACGCGAAAGGGAAGTGGCGAGTTGGTCGTCAGTGCGAGGGTGGGGTGACTTGGAGGAGGTCGTGTGAAGAGAAGATGAAATCGTGTGGGCAGACTTGGAGCGGGTTGAAAACGTTGGCAGAGAACCGAAGGCAATGGAGACGCGCGGCTGAAGCTCTATGTTCCTCTAGGAATTAAAGGAATTAATAATATTATATAACGAAAACAGGTGCGTGTCAAGCAAATAGGTGATTCTCAAATTATTGGCCAGTATCTAGCCGTAATCCGTCATAACTAATAATCCCCAGTAATCAGCCGTTTACAAATAATTCGTCTGCTAACTTGTATATTAGTCTCGAATTAGTTCGAATCCCTGAAGTAAACCAAATATTTGAAAAGTGACTTGGCCAGTAAGAAGTAGATGATTAAATGAAGATGATATTGAATTAAGTAAGAACTTACATGTTTTATTCAGAAACGGTTGGTGGACAATACCGGCTATTGGACGATTATGAAGGACGATGCAAATCATAACTGTGACGTATTCAGTTAGACCTTCTATTATACAATTTGAAAACAATGATAAAAAGCAGAATTAAACAGCACTATAGTTTAAAATATATAAAACATAAAGAGAACATGAATAGGTGGAAAAAAGATAGTAAAACACTTTTCTGGAAATTTAAACTGTTCACCATACAGCGAAGCAAGGAATGAAGTCCAAACTTCAGAACACGAAAACTGGGATCCTTTACGTCATCCACTAGTCCCGTACATATAAATCTAGATACAGCACATATGGTAAGCATTTGAAATACAAATAATCATATAGAGAACAGTCGGTTGAAAGCTTCAGAGTAACAAGTAAGTGCGTAAAGCTGTTTACACCAATGGCTTTTTCGTAACAGTTCTCCTTACAAGGAGAAACTGAATGCTGAAACACCGGAAATCAAGAAGCACTGAACAGTTTTATCCTAGTTTTAGCACGTTTAGAGTAAGTGTCTGTGACGAGTTATTAGACGAAAACACCCAGACTTTTATGGTGAGCTCATCACGTTTTCAAACTTTTGTCAATTCGATACCCAGATTAATCAATACACAAAACATCACTTGAAGTGGTCTAATTCTACTAACTATGCACTCAGTTTATGAATAAAATTGTTGAGTAAATGCAATCATCTGTGAGGGTATTCATAATCAATGTACAATAAATTTTTGTTTTTCACAAGATACGATGATACTAATCTGTTAGTTGTATTAACATATAATCTTAGTAGCACACACATTTCAATAAAGAATTAAAGCCTGCACTTTAAATTTTCTTTAATTATTGCATAAGGTTGTTTCTTTCACAGATCAGCTGCAATGAAAAGTCTTCTTTTGAAAAATAATAACTTTTTGAGAACTGCCGTACCCAATAAAATAAAATTTTTATTTTTGATTACAGTTTGATTCCACACTGTATTTTTGGTACAAGTATGGAGTTTTCAGCATGCATATCGGTAGCCCAAAATTTCCAGGCTGACCATAGATGTCAGGCATGCGTCGGCAGGAGATCGAACCTCGGACCATGTGCATGGTCGGCGAGAGTCCTAACCACTGCGCCACCAACGCACAAACCGACAAGTGGATGAAACAAGGAGTCAAAATTCAGGCAGAAAAAATATAAACGTTATACGATATCAGTTAAAACTTAAAAAGTCTATAGATTTAATAGATCTAGTTTTCTAGAACAACACAACTTTGAAGCAGGACACAATAACTGTTACTCATACTGCGATTTCCAGTGTTAATATGGTTGAGTTGTATTCATAATACACAGTGCCGTGGGATTTCACTCAATGTAATATATCAACTATCGATCGATACCAATAAGCTTATAAAAGGAACTTAAGTTTGATTAAATGATGAAAATGCATATCCTCTCGAAAAGATAATCTAGAAGGAATTTAGAACATACGTGTGAAGACCCACTGATAACCACCATATCAAAAGATTTCATTGTTGCGATTTTCAGATTGATTCGGCTGATAAATAACTCTCTGTCTGTCTGTCTGTTTTCGACATAGAACTTTGCACATATGTGCGGCAGTTCAAGTCGCCACACTCCATGTAGAATACAAAGAAAGAGAAGAAAGTACAAGAAAAGCATAACAGAGACAGTAGGCAGAGGTGTGAGACAAAGGAAGAGTAATAACGAAGAACAAAACAGTTTCATTGGAAATTATAAGTCACAAGGAGTGGATGCATCTGTGTCAGCCACTGAGAACGATTTTGAGTCTTGTCACCAATTGTTTCCAACCAATAACTCTCAGTGGTTCAACAGAGAGTACCTCACTTAGTAATGATCTGAAGGCGAATTAAATCTTTAAATGATAAGCTGTGAAGAAGGTATGGTGGCTTAGTAGTTGTTACATCTTAGGCAATTAAGCTAATCAAGAAAAGTATTCAGATACGCAAGGAAAATGATATTTACTGCTTTTTTAACAGCAACTTCTCCGAAGAGTGTCCTGTTTGTTAGTTTGATTTTGTATCATCAAACATCGGTGTAAAGAAAGTTTTGTACTCAAATCCTGTTAATGCTTACCCCATAATTCATGTATGTTGTTATTGGAGGAGTGGGGAAGTGGGGAATTTTGTTACAAATGATCCCTAATAAAAACTAAATCATTTACTTTGGTTGATATAACAGAATGATGCTGAGTGCATAAACGAAAGGAAAACAGTCCACTTGGCAAATACATACTGGTGGATTTTTTTCTTACATAAGTTATTTTGTAGCATTGATTTGCTCCTCTATATTTTTGAGCTTTATTCCTACTGTCTAGCTATTTTCCTACTTCCCGTCATTTAGAAATTGATCATTTAACCGCAAAGTGTGTCATTCATTTCTTAACCATAATGGTTTCATTGAGTATTTGTCACCTGTAAAGTATTCATTCAACCGGGATCAAAGGAGCCAATCGAAAATGACAATCAAATCATGTGTTAGAAGTTACGAACAAATTTTACGGTGAAAAATCAAATTTGCAGAAATCAGAACAATTACATGATTCCAGTTGATTAGGTGTCTCTATAAAATAGTAGTAATGGAAACAAATCTATGCAGTTAAATAAATCGTCGACTGCCTTGTATGTCAGATATTCACTTGTTTTCAACAACAACAACAACAACAAAAGAAACCTAATATCGAAACATCAACAGATTTTAGAGCAATTAGCAGAGAAAAGACTGACATTTTATCAACTTCTTCAGTTGATGGTCATGAAATAAGCTTTATCTAATCTCTGTATTTTGATGCTAGCAGTGATTCATCTAATCATTTTTCGTCACAAACTACTTTATAATTTACCTAAGACATTAAAATTAGTGATATTTAGTGGCTCCTACGTGCTTTCCTGATTTATACTTATTTTATCTGAGTATAGACAAACAATTTTCTGTGTTTTTGTCATTATTATTATTATACCCTTTAATTCCTAGAGGAACATAGAGCTTCAGCCGCGCGTCTCCATTGCCTTCGGTTCTCTGCCAACGTTTTCAACCCGCTCCAAGTCTGCCCACACGATTTCATCTTCTCTTCACATGACCTCCTCCAAGTCACCCCACCCTCGCACTGACGACCAACTCGCCACTTCCCTTTCGCGTTCCATTCGAGCAATGGCTTGTCTAGTAATGTCACTCACTTGATGGTTTCCTCAGAGTATGACCACAATCCAATCCACCTCCATTTCTTGCTGTCTATTTGTTTCACAATCGGTTCCTGCTGTGTTGGTTCGCTCATTCCCAGAGATCCCTCCCTGTTGCTGATCTTTTCTGGCCAGCCATCAGATCTTGAGTGGTATTGAGCGAAGACAACTGTTAATGAAGGTCTGTAGTTTGTTTGAGATGCTCTTTATGACGCACTGGCCATTATCTGATCCGTATGGTAAGTAGTACTGACTTCACATTGGAGTTGAAAATCCAGATCTTATTTTTGATGGTGAGTGGTGTTGACCTCGACACAGACTTGAGAGTAATGAAAGCTTGTCTTGCTTTTCCGATTCTGGCTTTGATATCCTCGTCACTTCTGTCGGCCAGTAGTTGAAACGATGCTTCCTAGGTAGGTAGGTAGGTAGGTAAGTAGGTAAAGGAGGTTGTTCCTCCTATTTATGCTGGCTGATTGTTGTCTGTTGTTGTTGCTGTGGCTGTTGGTGTTGGCCAGGAATCTTCATCACCTCTGTTTTCTCTATGTTCACCTGAAGTCCTATTCTTCTCTGGATGCTTCTTCTGACAACTTGTTGATTTTCACTTGCATATCTTCCAGTTTGTGGGAAATCAGACATATATCATCGGCGAAGTTTTTGTCATCAAGAAAGTTTAATTTACTAGAATTCCCACTCACTGATGCACTTTCATATGATTCGTATGAAGGTACAATGTATTAAATTTACCACATAATACACCCTTGAGCCACACCAAGAGCACACAAGCTGCTCCTGGTGTGTTTTTAAAATGATAAGGGGACTTGTTTTTTATCCTTTCATGTTCCCAGTGGAATATAGGGCTTCAAGCCAGAAGCTTAAAGTTTCTATAGCAGTGTTTATTTTTACAGGATGGGGTTGCAAGCCTCATGCCCAACGTGTTCCTCTTTGCCAGTGTTTATCTCTGGCTTAGAGAGGTAAGAGAGTGCGCCGGCCAGGGATTGAACCCTGGACCATATGCATGGTCGGCGAGCGTCCTAACCGCGCCTAAGGTGACTTTAGCAGATAACAATTCTACAGTGTACCATTTCATTTCCAGTAACAAACAAAAATGATCAGTTGCATTAGCGATACCAGTATCTTAGTACTTCAACATCTGAATGAAATCACTAGGAATTATATGAGCGAAACGGTAGTACCAACATTCAATGAAATAGATCATTACATAAGCAATAGCTTCTAAACTTCTAAACTCTTTAACGATGCAATTTTCAATAACCAACAAATACGAATCCTTAATAAGAAAACGGTGACGAGAACGCAATGTAAACCGACTTTTCAAAAACAATAATTTTAATGCCAATGCATAAATCAGATTTTACTATCTTACCTGTATACTCTTGAGTGGCGTCTAGTGGATCTATCCATACTACCAAGTCTGTAACGGGCACAAACAGATCATCATTAGGAAGGGAACTTAGAAAATCTGAATGGAAAACATTGTTGGCATAATCTGATTGGTAGTGTTCAACCATCACATGCTCCTCAGATCGAACCTAAAATGGAAAACAGCAGGGAATCAGTTGACTTATATGTGAATGAAGATGTTCGATTGCTCGCGCCTAGCTGTAGAATCCACGACGTGCACTTTGTCCTATTTGGTGCATTTGCATCCTAGTGAGAGATTATTCTCCCAATGGGATCGAAACCCAACACACTTTTAACCCCACAACCGGTCTAACAGGCTTGTCTAGGCAAGATAAAAACATCTTGTGCCAAAGGTATATGTCAACAGAAACTCAACATTTCAGTCCAGTTGAACCAAAATCAGAAAACCCCAGTTTCAAGAAATAAAAAATGTCACCAATTGCTAAGGAAGTGGCTATGGTGGCTCAGTACCCTAGTGGATAATTATGGGCGGTACGTCAGAGGTTCAGTGGGCATACCATCCATCATTCACCGGAATGCCAGTGCACCAAACAACAAGACGAACCATGCAGCCTGAATTCCAAAGCTAAGTATGACTAATCAAATAAATCCGAGTCGTAATCATGGTATGAAAGATAGGTTCATAACAGAGGCCAAAATATCAAAGCAGACCCCGTATTATAGTTCAAAAAAAACAAACGAAGGGGAATTCAAAAGTCTTAATAAGTAAAGATGCATAACTTGTTTGAAATCCATATACATGAATGGTGAATTGCATATCATAACCGGTTAAGCTATCTGTTGCAGTTATTATTTTGCTTCAAAATTGGTGGTCAAGGCAACACAAATAGACAGTAATAAAACTCATGTTGTTCGACAAAAACATTCTACTAAGACCAAAAATAAAAATTGTAGAAAAAGAATCTACACCTTACTCGACACTCATAAAAATCTTAAGTTATTAAATACTAACATTAAAAAAAGACAGCTATAAGAAGTACAACAGTCTGTATCACGATTGCTATTATGAATTAACCTCAAGTAAATACACACTTTACCGTAGAATCAAGAACGTGAGGATTAAAAACGAGTACACACAACAATCCATATACAGGAAAAGCCATTAAACTTTAGGAGTTAGCCGGGGAGATATGTAAACTGACTTCGCCTACCACCCTAATATCAAACTTGGGTGTACTCCGTTAGCATTATCTTTGTGTCATAGAGCTTGATGACGAAATTACACACCGAAGTATTATATTTCCATCAACATACTTGGGACTTCCAGTGACGTTTGTTGCAACTACAATACTGTAGCTACTGATTTATTACTGGTAACCTAAGTACGAATAAAGACTGTCAGCCGATGAAAATTCCCCCAATTATAAAGTTGATTTCTTACACTACACTGATTATTGAAGACACTGATGGAATTGAAATGTGTATTAAGGCGAAGTATTAGAAAGAAAAAAAAACTGGGAATATCGTATAGAAAACACAAAATTGATAATTAAGAATGACTATATCGGTGGATTATCGCTCAATTGTAATTAGCATAAAAGCAATATCGACTGGTCCACTTCTGGACTAGCTCTTCGACCCACTTATCATACGAAACTAGTGGTCATAAAATTTAATTGGTGGGTGATGACTAGCAGTGGAATCAAGGATGTACATTCCGTCCTATTTGGGACTCGTCACTGGGTATACTTGCATTTCCCAGTGAGTGATGATGTTCCCACTGAGGCCCAAACCCAGTGCTCATAGTTTCAGACTGCAAAGCGTTATCCATTAGACCACTTAGGCCACGAGAGCCACCTCTTGTGCAACAGGTCATATTAATTTAATCTTAGTTTTCCCGTCGATTGATTGGACAGAAGTGCTCGGTCTCAGGTTGACATGTCGGCTTCTGGTGCAGATGCTTCGACGATGTCTCGGCATGTAATTAGAATTTAAGTGGTGGATGATCACTAGCAGTGGAATCCAGGGTGCGCATTTCGTCCTTTGGCGTTTGAAACTATAAGCACTGAGTTTGAGCCTCGGTGGAAACATCACCACTCACTGGGAAATGCAGGTATATCCAGTGACGAGTCCCATTTATTACGATTCTTGGCCATATCCGATAATGTTTCGAGCCATCGATTCGAGCTATCTTGCGGACCCCAACCAGGGAGACGTGACGCACCAACCGATGCTAATCTAGAACAAAAATCCTTCATCCCACGACGCCACGTCATGGGCTGACCACCTCTCCGCCTTTTCCATTCCGTCCCAGGGTTAGCGAACAGAGACCCGTACGAAAGCCTCTGGGATGACATTCGCAGCACATGTCTAAGCCACCGGAGCCGGCGTTTCTAGATGGCGACACTCAATGTACGGTGATTTCCACTGTGTTTACACACACGCCACCGAACCTCAGAATTACTCACGCGATGATGCTATCGAACGCAACCAATCCTGTGGAGACAGCGATGATACAACACGCAGAGTCACCGTACATCCTCAGCTCAGAGAGGCCAGGTTTCACAGGCGTAGAGCAAGGCGGCCAGCACCGAAGCATTGTATACCCGACCTTTGACAGCCAGGCTAAAGTCGCGACGGCGCCAGAGGTGGCTTAAGTTGATGTATGCCACCCTAGATTTCACTATACGGTTGGAAATCTCATCCGTCACCCCTCCGCCAGCACTCACACAACTACCCAAATACACAAACTTATCAACAACTCCAAGCGGTTCACCCGCAAGATCGAGTGCAGGTACAAGCTCCTGCCAACCTTGTAATAGTGCTTTGCACTTAGACGGCGCAAAGCACATACCATACTTACAGACACTGATCGCCAACTGATTAAGTGCGGTTTGGGCAGGCTCCATGCTGTCGCACAGTAAGACGACATCGTCTGCATACTCGAGGTCTAAAAGTCTCTCTCCAGGGAGCAGATCCACACCGCCTTCACGCACCTCCTTTAGAGCTGACTCCAGAATGTCATCGATGGCAAAGTTAAAGAGAAACCCCACTGTTGGTTGGGAACAGTGATGGTAGTTGGTTGTATGCCCTCACTCTACCTGAGGTGTTTCTGTATAGGGCTTTCAAGATATTAACAAATTTCTTAGTACACCTCTCTCTAACAGACAGTTCCAGAGTACAGTTCTGTCCAACGAATCGAATGCAGCCCTAATATCAAGAAACACAACGACCGTTGGCCTGCAATACGTGTGGCGGTGTTCTAACAACTGACGGAGGGTGAACACATGATCAATGCATCCACGACCTGAACGAAACCCAGCCTGCTCTTCGCAAATCAATCCCTCACGTATTTTGAACAGCCTGCGAAGCAACATAGCAGCAAATATTTTAGACGCGACTGGTAACAGACTGATACCCCCATGATTGTCACACGAATTACGTCGACCCTTTTTACAGATGGAGACGATAATGGCTTCGTTCCACATTGATGGTACACATACCTTCTTCATCAATCCAGTTAGAGCCATTGCGAGAGTCTCGCCACCATCTTTAAAAAGAGCCGGGGGTAGATTGTCTGGGCCGGGCGCCTTGTGGCGTTTTAACACTTGGAGTTCCTTACAGACCTCGGCTTCGGTAGGTGAGTCGATACTAACCGACCAAGGAGCACTCAAGCTAATGACAGCAAACACTGAAGATGGTGGCCAGCTAAACTGTTTCCCGAAGTGCTCTGCCCAGCGTTTCAGGAGTCTTTTCAAACTGGTAATTGGCGAGCCATCTGTTGTAACTGCACTGAATTAAGGTAAAACCCCGTCGCCAATTGTTATATCTTGCTCTGTCTGCGCCTGAACTTATATGTATATCTGCTCGTCGTACCTTCCGACTTAGTAAAGCACGCAAATATCAAAAGACAAAGGCTGGACTGTGACTGTGTATTGAAGTGCAACAACGATAAAGAAAGCCATGGTATTTATACATTTTACAACAATATGGACAGCTAACAGCATTTGAAATAATTGACCTTAATAGCCAATAACAAAGTGCGTGAGAGATGCTAATATACCATATGTGCGACATTGACAGTCAGTAACAAAATGTGTGGGAATGATATACCATATATACAAAATTAGCAGTCACTACCAAAATGCGTGAGAATGATAATATACAAAATTAGCAGTCAATACCAAAATGCGTGAGAATGATAACATACCATATATGCAAGTTTAAACAGTCAATACCAAAATATGTGGGATCCTATCACCTCCCCCCGTAAAGAGTGTAGGACTTGCTTTTTGGATCTATTTGCAAAGGTTTCGGAGCTCTTCTTTGTCGAGTTGACCTTTGCGTGGTACTGGATAGAGCGTGATCTGTGTGTCTGCCACATAACTGTCCTTTTTCATTCGTACGATAATGCAGCAAGAATTTATCCAAAATTTTTTCTGTTGTTCCCTCCCCCTTCGCTTTTGCATAAGCACGCTTAAAGGTGTCGACGAAACGTTCAGTAATAGTTGACGTAGGAGGGACACTGTTGCAATTGATGTGGCAGAATGCATAGGAAATATCTCTGGCCATTTGGAAAACGCGTCGACACATATTAAGAAATGCATACTATTGAACGGTCCAGCGAAGTCAACATGAACACGGGACCATGGTTTGTCCGGTCGTGGCCAGGAACATAGTTCTGTCTTGCGTGGACACTTTGATGCTTGAGCACATTTACTACACTTGCGAACGAGGTCTTCGATATGGTCATCGATGTTGGGCCAGTAAACATAACTGCGAGCGATCGCCTTCATTCTCCCAACACCAGGATGTGATATATGAAGCTGCCGAAGCACATGGTCACGAAGATTAGCTGGAACGACAACACGATCAGCAAACATTATGCATCCATTAACGATGGATAGGGATTTGCGTCGCTGGTAAAACTGTTTTAAAACATTTGAATGAACATGTGGAGGCCAGCCAAATCGGATGAACTTTGATACTTGCTGTAAAACTGGATCACGCAGTGTGTGTCTGGCAACCTCAACTGCAGTCACCGGAAGATCGTCCAGAGAGATAGACATTATAATTGGGTTGTAATTTACACAGTCAAAAATGTTATATAGTTGCGCTGAACAGAATAAAAACTGTCGTCGTTGCGTGCTATAACTGCGATGAATTA